AGCGCGCGCGTGGAGCTAAACCATGGCTTGCGCGAGTGATGCGCAGAAAGTGTGCGCACTAACAAAAGTAGGCACCGTCCTTAAGTCTCTCTAGCTGATGTGGACATACTTTGTAGCGATTCCCTCTCCCGCAACGTCGCATTTAATTGTTTAATGTTTATGCCTGAAATTTCCAACCGGACGGTTTTTGTAAATGGTAAGCACCCCAGATATATATTTATACATTTATTGGCAAAAACGTCTTTAATAATTGAATAGTTTGACGCGCTCTAGTCTCTCCTTTTAAACCTACTATCAACTATCGCAAGGGCTGACGTAATTACCAGGAGCCCATGGGCTGCTGCAATTACTGAATACTCAAAGTTTTTTCTATGTTTTGATTTATGAAACCTTTCCCTCAAAACGTAGGATAAGAGGAAATGGCGTTTCCGTTTCCCTAAAACTTAAAAATTTCCTGCGAGGCATGCCCCTAAACCCGGCTAACGGCTTCCGCCTTCGGCGTTCTAGTAACTTTCTCTTCGGTGCTTACTCCACATGAAAAATACACGCTCACCCTAGGCCCCTGAAAGGGCAGGTTATAATTGCGGTTAATTAGGCAAAACTCTTAAAGTTTTGTTTGATAATGAGACATTTTCAAAAGCTCTCAGCTGAGAAAATTAAAATCTCCCTGGATACTGCGTGGGGGAGGGGGGTAATTTTAACTGCAAATAGATTACATTTTGTCTTGACTAATGGGAGAGACTCGTTAGGGCCATAACCTATGTTTGTGTGTCATTTAGTTTTAACAGAGTTTTGCGAATTGAATGATACCAGAGAAATGCTCAAATCAAATTATAACTAGTGGCCAAGCCTGATTCTCGCGAGCTTTTACTGTTAACTGAAAATCAAGTGGCAAGCTCTCTTGTCAGCTTTTAGAGTAGGAGTCGGAGAGAAGGAGAGGTTTCCAGCTTTGATTAAAATGTCAGTGTTTTGACAACATTTTTAAACTCTAAAGAACGGTTTTGAATTGTTTCCGTTTGGGATAAAGCCACGTCAATGCCCTTACCTATCCATATAATCAGTCTCACGCCGGCTTTCAGTATTAACAATCGCACTCCACCATTCTTCTGGATTCTCAAGACTTCGGGAGAAAGTCGCAGTAAGTACTATAATGTAATTGCATTGAAGTAAGACGCTATTTGCAGTGTAGAATATTCGCGTTTGTAAGACGTTTATCACGAAGTGGTATACTGGTTATTTCAGGCTTACGTCCAAAGTAGTTTCCTAAGACCTCTTTCATTAGGCATCGGCAAATACCTCGGCTATTGTTGATAGGAACATGTAACTGAATCACGTTACCTGGTTGTTCTATTCCCTCTCTGACAACCTTCATAGTAAATACATACTAGTTATTCAACGTTTTCGAGTGGTATACCATGGAATATCCTACAAGTCACTTTTATTTTCTCGGTATACACACGAGGTTGGGTGTAATACCGTCGAATATACAACGGTTTTCCTGTATTCTGATATTGGTTTTATTGTCTATGGCACGTTCTAAAAAGGAATATAGTTGTCAGAGGATTATTAAAGTATTTTGATCACAAGACGTTGTGTGCGTAGGGTCAGCATAGTAAGTTATGTAAGTATTGAAAGTGTCATAATCCGCACTGTCAGTATTGTACCTAGAGCAAGTATTTTATTGTATGTAGGGTAAGCTAATTAAAAAAATATATACTGTAAGTAGTGTAATTAACGTGAGTATCATAGGTATGAATTGTAATTAGGTAAAGCATTGAAAGTAACGGAAGTATTGCAAGTGCCGCAATTAAAGCAAGTGTCTAAATCAACGTATTGTACGCAGTGCCGCATAACAGTAAGGTAAGCTAGTAAAATGAAATTTATATTTGAAAAAGAAATTACTAGGAATTTACGAGCTTCGTACCACATGCCGGTACGCAATCTTGAATGAGCAACTACACAAGGAGGTCTGGAACTGAATTACAAAATTAGAAACAGAGAGGGAAGGGTACACTTCGTCGCCTCGTAATCTTTTCCAGAATATATATGGCTTTATCGGAGGAAGGCAGGTTACATTAAAATTATTGCGGTCAATTAGGCAAAATCCTTTATAATTTAAGTGTTCGCCCAGAACTGCCATGTTTTGACTGACAGTGAAAACCTCTCAATAGCTCCCAGCTGAGATAGTTTAAATCTTCCTGGATACTGCGGGGTGAAATTTTACTTGCAAATGTGCAGGTTACTTTCATGGTTTCAGCTTTTGTCTTGACTGATGCGAAGGACTCATAAGGACCCTAGCCTGACTATCCGTCACTCAAATTTCTCAATTATCATTTAGTTTTAACAGAGCTTTCAAGATGAACCGTTATTCTAGAAATGCTCAAATTGTTACCGGTAGCCAAGCCTAAACTTACTGATAAATGAAAATCCAATACCCCATGCGGACCCTGCCTGCTGTAGAATATAATTTCGATTATACTTGGGCCGGGCCAACCCAACAGAAAGTCTTCAACTCTGATCTTCGTATTTTCTTCCCCACTAGCGGTCGAAAGGAGAACTTTCCAAGATTTTTCAGACAGTGTTCAAACATAAATTAAAATACCCCCCTGAAAACCTTTAGAGTAGGCGACGGAGCTGATGAGAAGGAGAAATTTCCAGCTTTGATTTAAATGGCGCCCCTTAAAACTTCCTGACACTTCTGGTTGTCAGAGTTGTCAGTATTTTGACAACATTTGTTAACTCTAAAGCACATCTTTTAATTGTTTCCGTTTCGGACAAAGCCACGTCAACTCCCTTGCCTACATGTATTCATATATTCTCAAGCCGGTTCAGTATTAACAATCTCGCCAACCCTAACGTAACTCTACAATTCTTTTCGACTCTCAAGACCTCGAGAGAAAGTTACGGTAAGTGCTGTCACTTGAAGGAAAGACGCTTCTTGCGGAGTAGAATATTCGGGTTTGTAAGTCGTTTATCACAAAAGAGATACGCTACTTATTTCGGGTTAATGTCCAAAAACGTTTCCTAACGCCTCTTTCATTCGGCATCGACAAATAACTCATCTATCGTTGATAGGAACCACGTTATCTGGTTGTTCTTTTCCCGGTCCAACAACCTTCATATACCAATTACAAAGGAATATTCGACTGGTTGTTAAGCCATTATATTAAAGCATTTTGATTAAAAACGGTAGGGTTAGCATTGTAAGATATGTAAGTGTTGAAAGTACCAGTACTGAACCTAGTGTAAGTGGTGTAAGTACTTCATTGTATGCGGGGTAAGCTAATACATATATATATCTTGTAAGTAGTGTAATTACCGTAAGTATCGTAGGTTTACTTTATTTACCCTTGGCAGTGCTTATAGCAGAAAGGCTAGTGGGGCCGAGCAAATATCTGAAACAAATAATCTAAATTGAACATCACATTGTTAAGGATCCCAACTGGCCGAAGGCAAACCAGTTGGCTATTTACAAGCGGTGGCCGAGGATTTGAACTCGAGGCACCGTGAAACAAATCCAGGTGGTGGTCAGAGTGGAACTCGAACCACTCTTTAGGGAACGACTCTTTAGAACTCCCTGTCATCCAAATTTCTCAGTTATCCTTCAATTTTTAACAGAGCTGTCGAAACCAACTGATTACTGAGAAACACTCAAATTATAACTGGTAGTCAAGCCTGAATCTCGTAAACCTTTTACTGATAACTGAAAATCTAGTACCCCATGTAGACCTTCCCTCATGCAGAATGGAACGATATATTTTGATTACACTCGAGCCGGGCCAACCGAACATAATGTCGTCAACTTTGATCTTTGCATTCTCTGCTCCAGTAGCGGTCGAGAGGAGGAGAACTTTCCAGTCCTTTCCAGGATGTTCTAGACAATGTTCAGACTTTAATTAAAATGCCGCCCCCGAAAACTTCCTGTCGCTCGCGGTTGTCGGAGATGTCAGTGTTGGCCAATCAGTCAAACCTGCGATAAAACAAAATCCTGTTTACTAATATCACACGCTAGAGAATTGGATTCTCGAAAACCACATTAGAAATGAAATTGAAAACCATAGGTTTTGAAAGATTTTTCATAGCGCAGTACAACTACAATATATTTTTTTCTTGTTAGTGGGAAATTTCGCCCCGAAAATTCCGGCGCATGTTTAAAATACGTCACCACGAAATCCGTCTTGAAGTAGTCGGCAGGGACTCGTGTGTGGGGAAAGCATTTTCAAGGTTCTGAATAGAAAAGATAGTTAACTCCTACGTCCGCGAAGTTTACTTCCAAAATTTGCTTGAGGTCCCTGTTGAGTGATGCGACATGCTATGCTCTTACGTCACAATAAATTAAACTCCACCAATCAGATTTTAATAGCATTCGTCAGCTCTAAGCTACAACTTAAATTTCGTGTAAAAAAAACCCACACAAATGTCCTTGGCCTACCATATATTCTCACGCCGGCTTTCAGTGTTAACAATCGCGCTAACCGTAACTTAACTCCACAATTCTTCTGGCTCAAGACTTCGAGGGAGAGATACTGTAAGTATAGTCATTTAATTGTAAGTAAGTCGCTCCTTGCAGTGTAAAATAATCGGGTTTATAAGGCGTTAATATAATCACAAAAGAGGTACACTGCTTATTTCGGGGTAACGTCCAAAGAAGTTCCCTGAAGCCTCTTTCATTCGGCATCGACAAATAACTCTGCTTATCGTTGATAGGGGCATGAGCCATGTTGTCTGGTTGTTCTTTTCCCGGTCTAACAACCTTCATATACCAGTTACAAAGGAATATTCGAGCTTGCAATCTCTGATTTCTAACCACACGTCATTACGCAATCCTGAATGAGCAACGGAACTGTTTTACAAAAATAGAACCAGAGAGGGGAGGGCAAATTTCGTCCCCTCGTTATCCGTTCCCCCTGAGAGTTTTTANAGTTAAATTAAGCACTAGCGATGTGGCTGCAAATGATTATCCACAAAACAAGTGGGTACCAGGCTACCCAGTCCTCATCTCGCCTACTTTGGATATACATTTCAATCGTTTCCTACTAACCATGATAACATTTACAAATCATGATAACGGTTAACTGTGAAATTTGCCAATAAAAGATATAGACGACTTCCCACGCACTTAATTTGGCAATCTTGTTCGGTTCCTCTTCTAACTCGAAGATTGTAGTTTACTTTCGTTACAACTTCTATATTAGTTTAATGGTCTTTAATGTACTACCGAAAAGTGACCAGCCTCAAACAAACCCATCCATGTGGAGTATCTATTTCAGTAATTTCACGGTGGTCCATATACCACAATAATATTTCGCCAAACAAACAAACAAAATAAATAAAGTATATCATCCTTGGTTGAAACTAGTGCAATACCTGAATCATGACAATGCGTGTGTAACATAAAATAAGTAAACAATATAAATTGACTGTTAACTGTGACATTAATTTCTTAGTCAGTAGGTTTTAGACCCTATAACCTTGATGCATGTAAGAGAACATTTCTATGGATATTTGAGTGGTCTATTCTGCTATAATTTTGGTCCAGAAAAGTTCTATAAAATATTTCTTTTTTAACTTGTAGTAACGACGCCACCAACGCCTTCGATGCCTCCTACGACACCTGCTCCTCCAAACCCGTGTGAGCCAAACCCATGTAAGAACGGAGGCACCTGTGAAGCTCAGGAGGGGAAATTTACCTGTTCCTGTCCCGATGGATACTGGGGAGAACTGTGTGAAGAAAGGGGTAAGAGAGCTTGTTTGAAATGAAGTTATCGGATAGGAGCGTCACACATAAAATACGGAAACGAATGGTTGTCTTAGTTCACTAGAATTTCACAAAACGGCAGGATTAAAAGAAATAGCCAAGCTAGCATTTTATCCTTGAAATTTTTACTTCTTGTAGGTTGTGGTAGAATTGGAAAATTCGATGTCTGTTTAAATGTTTCTTGAAAGGGAAAAAGTAACTTCTTTCAGACTAGTCGCGCAGACTTGACAATTCTACCTAAACGTTGTGTATTTATCATTTGGTCGCGGTTAGGTCCAAATGCTGACGAAAGTAAAGACGCATTGATGCTAACAAACATGTACAGAGCTATGCATCAGGCTCCACCAGTAACCTGGAACAAGGAGATAGCTGCTAAAGCACAAGACTGGGCCGACAAATTAGCCAAAGAACAGAGACTTGTACATGAGAACGAAAGTTCGACTGATTACGGCGAAAATCTGGCTGAGGTAGGAAGTGAAGACAAGGCCCTACTGCGAGCTATTGATGCATGGTATAATGAAGTGTCTCTGTACAACTATGAAGATCCCAAGTTCTCCACAGACACCGGCCACTATTCACAGGTAAGAACACGATTGCTTTAACATAAACCTAAAACAGTTATCACGTACTGTCCTAAGCTTTGAGCCTTCATACGATCAGGATATACTCGTCTGTTAAAACTATCTTGTGTAGAATTGGAATCAGAGTCGGAATCAGAGCCGACAGAATGGAATTAATGGCATTCGGTCGACAGCGCAACCTTGAAATGAACGAATGTATGAATTGAAAAATGTCTTACATCAGTGGCCAGATATGAATATCTATAATAATAATATCTTGGTTTTAACTTTAATACTTAACAATACATGATGATTTTAAGCCCTCTGGTTTATTCCGTTTCCTTTGCAGTTGGTTTGGGGTGCCACTAATGAAATTGGAATGGCAAAGGCGAAAACCAGAGACAACACTAACGTGTACGTGGTGGCAAGATATAAACCAGCCGGAAACGTTGTTAATTTGTTTGAATCAAATGTAAAACCAAAACAGTAGAATTTACAGCGCAAAAGGGCAACTTCTTTGAGCCCAGCGAAGTTTTAGAGTTAATTCAAGATAAACGTGAAAGATAGAATGCACGCGCTTCAAATAAAGTAACATTTTTAAGTGTACATGTTGCTGTTGTATTTTGTCATTCCTCTTCACTGTCATCCACGTTTGGTTTTAAATCGTTCTCTATAGTTTTGTCGAATTCACTATTTTACTTTCAAAAGGTCTGTGGCAGCAATGCTCTGATGAAAACGAAGAGCTTCAGGAATATTCCTATTGAATGAATATATATTTTTTTTTAGCCCACAATCTCTGCTACTTTTACACCAATGGTCTTCCCAAACAAAATTCAGACCTGATTTGCTTGCACCGCCCAAGTAAGGTCAAACATATCACTATTCATGATCAGCTTACATGACGATTTCAATTCACAGATAGTGCACCGCTGGACGGTTGCACAGAAAATGGACAGAATGTCAAATACTTTCCTGTTGAGAAAGAGTGGTAAGGGGTATGTGGATTAGATTCCCTAAGTCGCTTGTTTAGAAAGGATCATTTGACATTCATGGAAGGAATCATGAATTATAAGTGTATTCCTAAATAGAGTTCAGCGGAATAGCAAACCTATACAAACGGGCTGATATAATAAGAAAGTTTAAAGCTCATCGAGACTCTTTCTTGGAATACAAGCATAAATTGTCACTCTTTATGACTAACCCAATATTTTATATAAATTATTCATTCGCTCAAGTAAGTAAGGTCAAACATATCACTATTCATGATCAGCTTACATGACGATTTCAGTTCGCAGATCGTGCACCGCTGGACGGGTGCGTAAAAAATGAACGGAATGTCGAATATTTTCCTGTCGAGAAAGAGTGGTAAGGGGTATGTGGATTAGATTCTCTAAGTCGCTTGTTTACGACGGATCATTTGACATTCATGGAAGGAATCATGAATTATTAGTGTATTCCTAATAGAGTTCAGCGAAATAGCAAACCTATACAAACGGGCTGATATAATAAGACAGTTTAAAGCTCATCGAGATTCTTTCTTGGAATATGTGTATAAATTGTCACTCTTTATGACTAACAAATATTTCATATAGTTCATTCATTCGCTCAGCAGTACTTGCAGCGGCGGTGTTCCGATCCCTGTAAATTTGAGGAGCAAGAGTAATTAAATCAGCCGGTTTTACGTGTGATTCATTCGCTCCTCTTATACATTCGCTCAACAGAATCTGGGTGTACATCTCTCGTGAACCAAATGAATAAGTAATATACAGATTTTATAGTTCCCAAAATTAATGTGACCATTTCAAGCTGCCCGCCGCGTGAGCTTGAAGTAGAAGCAAAAGAGCCTTTTTCTTTCTTCATGCTATCTTACACCAACTTTCTTTTAAAACTAGTTGTTAGTTTTGCTGAGCAACCTTCTTTCCTATGGAGAATATCGCAGTTTTATTTAACAATTTCCGTCGAAGAAGCTAGATCATTACTTTCTCAGTTCCGAGCAAAGAATGGAATGAGAATAGATTTGAAACCAAGAACTATGATTTTTCATTAGGTAAGTAAATGAAAGCATCTGGAGGTTCTAACTGGAACCAGAGGCTAAAGCTTGCGAAGTTAAGTATCACGCTGCAGACTTGCGAGCCAACCACAACAACCCCACATTTTTAATGAGATGATTTTTTCCTAAAAAAGAACATTTCTCAAAATATCCATATATATTACTTTCTTGAAGGCTACGTTTACTAGGTCTTCAGTGCTAAGCTCTCTGCTTTCTAAGATTTCACTTTTTCCCGGTCTCTACTGATTTGCGAGATCTTGGGCTTTCCGCCAGTGGACACAATATTAAGGAAAGGTCGACCCTCTCGGGTTTCTCAGTTTTCTAGGAAACTTCGTAATGACGCACTTTCAGTGTTGTATAAACAAACCTAGCAACGAGAATTCAATATACCTCCAACCGCAAAATCATGATCGTGATTTAGTTTTAGTTCTTTTAGTCAGGGTAACACGAAGACATAGACTCCCTGAAGAGTGATAAGTAATTAAGATAATTTTATTTTATATATTTTTGATCCTGTCAACTCCGACTACAGTTCCGGTGTTATTTAAGGCCTTAATAAAACCGCATTGCTCAATATGTCGCAATCGTTTGATTTCCTAGAAACAGGAAAGTCAAATTGACGCTCTGAATTCGTGGAATTAGGTTTTCACTAACAAAAGCCTTTGAGCATATTACTACAACTCACATATTTGGTATGCAAGCCCTACTCTGTAGTGGATGGACCAGTTGCAATCATTTATTGAGTTTGGTTCATTTTAGAAGACTATTGCATATATTCCAGTGTCACACGAGTCATCATGATTTTTCTGCTACAAGCAATAGATATTCGACGCCTTCGAGTTAAGACGGCATTTCTTAGGACCAGGCAGATAATACGGATTAGGGCAGCGCCAGGTTAGTATCCTTTGGATATTTATGAAGGACTGCAAACGCAGTACTAAAGTATGCAGGTTCTTGCCTCACCCAAGTCATTCGTTTTATTTTATGAGTCTTTGGTAGCATAATTTATTACTGACAATCAACTCCATGAGAATGTATTCATCACAGTTTGAGCCGGTAAACTATTTACAGTTGAATTGTATTTTCTTACTGAAGAACCTAATATAGAGTTGAAATATACTTCTACATAACTTCACATCCCGAATTGCCCGCTATTTCATCCTGATTTCTCAAATAAATCGAGACTATGGACGTATCGATTCATATTTGCCACACCTTAATATCTGCGGTATTTCAGTGTTTACAGCATTAACTTAATTCTTCAAGAATTTGACGAATTCCCTTTATAATTCTCATGCAAATTCATGCATTGCTTTAATATCACTCCTAAGCTTAAGTTAAACACATTTATGATAATTTAGTTTCTGCATTTTAAAGTAGAAGTGACTTGCATATAATGGCAATGTTTGCTGCCTTGCGTTACTTTGTGGTTTTAAAGTGGGAGGAGCGTCGTCCTAGCTATTTTATCTCAGATCAACATTTAACAAAATAAATGATTTCTGAGAAACGTTTTGGAGTTTTCTGAGAAAAGAATTACTCAAAACAATGCTATGTTATTACATGACAAAAGAAGTGAAATATGAACCTAGAACTTAGAATGTCAAAGAACTCTAAGAAAAGCTTAACATGACCAACAAAATAAAAACAAAAATACTTTTTGAAAAGTAATAACGTATTTTTTTTAAGATAAAAGAATAAGATTTGCGATTTCAGGTTTGAAATTAAAGTTTGAATCGATAGTGAATGCCAAATAGAAGGAAATGAATAATAAATCAAGTGATTGTTTTTTTAACACATGCATTTATGGGCTGTGTGATAACATGATGGGATTGATTAAACAAAATTGGTTTTAACACTGGCTTGAAAAAAATTAAGATTGAAATTCTAAAATAAAATAAAGTGACAATGATGATGGAGAACAACTTTCAGGATGTGAATATTTAACCCTTTAAGTCCATCGGACCTAAGGTCACAGTAGGAGAATCTTTGTTTACAACATTTGCCTCATTACCATAAGCGATACAGTTTCTGATGGAGCTACAAAGAGATTAATACTGAATATTGAAAGCGCACAGCGCGATTAACTGTCCCAAGGAATTTGAGCGCGATGTATTGAGTGCTTTTTGTGCGACGCGGGTTTAAAAGCTCAAAATTGTACAAAGAATGTATGAGCTCATTTGCGCTTTTGCCACACAGAAATTTTGATGTTTTTGAAAGCCAATTTCTCCGCGAATGTTACACCCAAAGAGCCAAAAATTTCACTACTTACTAAGTTTCACAAGCTCTTTAAGTTTTTTTTAGTAAAATCGTGTCTAGCATGATACCTTCTATGCGCAAAGTCGTATGTTAATAAGGAAAAATGTAAACAATGACGTCAGCAAAGATTCGCCTATACTTCGGACTTTGCATATGATGCGTGAAATTTTTTTCAAAGATGATTTCTGCTTAACATTTTTTTCATTTTAGACTTAATTACGAATCAAAAAATTTTTAGGAACGGATTTCACTAAAAAAGTTAACGTTAAAGAGTAACGACGTTTCGACCGCTCGACGGTCATTTTCAAGTTGAAAAGTAAAATTTTTGTATGCACCCAAATATATACAATCGATTATAAGAATGCTAATGAGACACTGACTAAAAATATTTACATAGAAACAATACAAGAAAATTGCGGCATGAGTTAATTAGACAAAATATTGTTATCTTTAATTATACAAAATATTGTGACAATCGTTACTTTGAAATCATTTTTACAAATATCATATATTTATATGCTTCCAATGGAGTTTTTGTGTTTCTGTTTTTATCTTATTAAATCGAGAGTTGTTCAATACAAACCACTTGTTCAAGTGGTGAAGGTTAAAATTCAAGTCGTTCAAGTGGCACGACTCGTAAAATGAGGCTTTTTTTACCATTTGTACGATTGGTTCAAATGGTGAATGTGGCACTTTTCAATGAGATAAAATAAAGAAGTACTTGGAGAATGTGATACTATTCAATGAGATAAATAAAGTACTACTTGTCCTTTTGCATGTCATTATAGACACTTCAAATATTTCAGCTCAACGTTAAGGTAGGGGCCTTGTCAACTCGTACAACTCGTGCAGCTGGTGAACTGTATCTCATTTTAGTATAAATCTACTAGCGTTCAATCACGAATGCCGTTCTCTGATTGGCTACGTTACTCACTATCTATTCTGTGATAGATAGTGAGTATCGTAGCAGTGTGCCCCCAGTGTTAACAAAATTACGGCCGCTTCTTGGCGTTTTCGAAGTGTCTATAAAGAGGATTTAGATAAAGTTTTGAACGACTAGTAGATTTATACCAAAACAATTTGATTATTCGCTCTCGATTTCTATGCGTGATAGCTGACGAGGGCGCATGCACGTTTAAATCGTAGCGTACCTGAAAACTAGCTCATGGTTAAGCGTACTGACCACGTTAAAAAACTGAGTATTGGATTGGAATGCCACCGGCAGTTTTTGATTGATGGTTGAGAAATTTTCAAAAGCTCTCAGCTGAGATGGTTTTAAAAAATCTTCCTAAATACTGCG